ATTTCTGTGTATTGCAAGAACTAATGTATGACAGTGAAGCTAATCTAAACTCTCCTAAAACAAACGAGACTACAACGTCACTCTCGCATTTTCTGCTCTGTCTCCTTTTTGAGATAAGTTTTAACTGTGGTTTCTTGTGAATGGTTCATGGGAAGAACAACAAAACCCTACTTACTATTTAAAATGAAAACACAAAGGAAAATACTGATATAATAGCAATGTTAATTTAGAATTAAAATCAAATCATTAATTAAATCTTCGCATGATATATTATACTCAGCAATCCTCTCAGGTGAGTCATAGAAAGAAATGTTGAAGCCTCGGTGACTCACATAGAAATGGGTGAGACGCCACAAGAAATATACCATTATTAATTTTCTTGAGAAACCGGTCTTTAGAAACCTGTGTTTTTAGGGGGGAAAAAAAGGCTGTTAGAGACACTCCTCTTCCCTTTACCAACACCAGATTTATTGGGACCAACTCTTAACTGCCTTCAAGGATGCCGGAGACATTTCTGATACTTAGCAATGTCAAGGAAGTTCCAGGTAGCTTGACAGCTAAGATTCATTATCCCACCTACCAACAGTTGACAGTTGAAATGCCTTAAAAGAAAGAAACAAAATACACAAAGACAAATCATTAAGAAAGGGGGTAGATAAGAAGAAAAGTAGCCTCAAGTGTCTTCATACATGCTTTCAAAGCATTCCACCTACTCAGCGCATCCCCTTAAACATACCATTTTGACCTATTCTCAAATTTTATTGATTTTCATGATTTATCATTTCAATTTAATATCAGTTAATATATTTCCCTAGATCTTAGTTTTAAAAACAGATGAAAATACAAGGTGCTGAGAGATCCTTAAAAAGAGATAGTATTCATAGATCAAACCACATTTAGCATATGAACCCAGTATTGTAACCCCAAGGTCACAAGACAAACTCATAAAAGCTCATGTGTGACAGCCTTGAGCTACTTTACATGTCTGTTTAATACGTATGTGAACCTAAACGTGCTTGCACAGAGGAAATATGCTCCATCCATTAGGCTGTATCATGACTGAGCCACTCATTACTGCATCAAAACAATTCATACTATGTTGTCAAAACCTAAGCAAATGACTGAACACAGACATTCTCTTCACTTGCCACCTAGACAGAGCACAAGAGGTCAGGCTTATTTACCTTTATCTCTTTGTTTCTTTCATGAGCATCTTTGTGTAGAGGACATCACAACAAAGAGGCTGTGAGAAATAGAGCGGGAGGCACACAGAAGCGACTGGTGACTGCGAGCTGCTGATTCTGACATCTCAATAATAAATCTTTTGTGTTAGTGAGACTGTTGACTTCTTAAGGGTTTCACAGAAAATAAGCGAAGAGGAGATAATTTAGTACAAGAGTGATTATCTCCTTTCAGCCCTCTTCTAGGATTAAAGTCCTCAGAGGGGATTTTTATGGATTTGCAAACAAACACAGGTCCTGGGAGCTCAGCTACAAAGTCAGGCTGACACTTCCTTGCAGAAGAAAGACAAAGTCTGGTAAAGGGAACTTCCCAGAGTTCTGTCCAGTCATTAAGTGCTTTTAGGGTCTTCAGCCACAGCTGTGCTTCTTTCTCTGATGACAGCAGGTAGCTTTTTAGCTTTGACCTGAGTTTTCCTGTTTGTTTGTTTGTTTTTATCTTTATGGATTGGACAAGTCTCCTGGGTAAGGAGGCAAGAACAGTCAGTTATTTCGTTTAAACCATTGCTATTTTTATTTGTCAAGTTAAAAAAAATAAACGTAGAGGACAAATCTCTTTTTAATCAAGAAATTTGGGGCTAGTAAGTTAGAATTTCCTCAGGTTAACTGTAGAAGAGAATTAAAACTAGAATGGGGAAAATATATGACTGTGGACTTTTGTAGACATTTTATTCATCAGTATGTTTTAAGAAAAGAATGGTACTTTCTGAGATATGAGCATTTTAAAAGCCATATTTAGATAAGTCAGCCTTTATATCTTCAGAGACATCAGAATTATCAAATAGCTAAGTAAAATGTTGTTTAAGCAATGATAGTCAAATAACAAACATGCACAAGAGAAACATTTTTTAACTTTTATTAATTATACTTTATTCATTTTGTATCCCCCCATAAACCCCTCTCTCCTCCCCTCCTAATCGCACCTTCCCTCCCCCTTCTTCACGCATGCTCCTCCCCAAGGCCACTGATAGGGGAGGTCCCCTTATCCTTCCTTCTGATCTTAGTCTATCAGATCTCATCAGGAGTGGCTGCATTGTCATCTTCTGTGCCCTAGTAAGGCTGCTCCCCACTCAGCGGGAGGTGATCAAAGAGCAGGCCAATCAGATTATGTCAGAAGCAGTCCCTCCTCCCATTCCTATGTAACCCACTTGGACACTGAACTGCCATGGGCTACATCTGTGCAGGGGTTCTAGGTCATCTCCATGCATGGTACTTGGTTGGAGTATGAGTCTCTGGAAAGACCCCTGTGTTCAAATATCCTGATTCTCACAAGAGAAACTTAAGAGCAGTTATAGACGTGCCTGAAACTGGAGTGGCATTACATAGAGTATGCTATGCGGTTTCCTTAAAGACAGATATAGTTATTTCATTTGTTTCCTAATTACAATTCCTGAGAGCTTCTCCATTGTATACTTAATAACTCACAGGCACCTTGGCCTTGTATTAAAGCCTCCCTTTGTCTTCCTCTAATTTACTTTTCTAACATTTTCCTTCACTATTTTAATTGATCCCAGTTTTCATCTAAACAAACTTTGTCTTGGTTCTCTCAGTATGTTTTAGATTGCTCTGTCATACTTTCCCCCTAATTTCTAGCCCTTGGGCATTTCTGCAACTAATATTTGCACATGTACCCCGACACTGCCTGCCTTTTAAAGATCTGGTATTGAGGTTTGCCTCTTTCCAAACATCTCTCTGCTCTTCTCAGAGTACAGGAACTTCAGCAGAGGCCCCATCTTTTTGGCTTTCTAAACCTTGCCAATTGTAATACTAGTTATTTCTTAACCATTAAACATATTTATTAAGCATCTGATTAGAGATAAATCAAAGAATATTCAAATAAGTGAATGGAATGAGAACTTGATTTTCTAGGGAAGACTTAAAACAATTCATAACTAAATGCTATCATAGATATCATTATCGTTAGAAGTCAGGAATTCTAAACTGCATTCATGATAAACAAATCAAAACCAAAACTCACCAAACCCTTCCTCTTATGCTTCTCTCGATTGCAAACCCTTTGTGTGTATAACATTGTGTTTTTATTGTGTATATACATATAAACATATGTTATGTATGTAACCTCAAGTACACGTGCACTGACCTACAGATATATTCTGTTGTTCATAATGCCTTAGAATTATGTAAGCTTTGAAGGAAAGAGATCGCTTCTGGGTGTGGTGGTACACACTTTTAATCCCAGTACTCTTTCTGTGACTTTAAACTAACATGCTGTACATAGCGAGTTCCAGGTCAGAAAGGGCTACAAAATGAGAGCCTGTGTCAAAATTTAAAACAGAAAAAACAGGCAAGAGAATAATCTGTGAGATTTTATGTTTTATTTATTGAGTACATGAATTGTCTTACCCAAGATCAATGCATTTAAAGTTTAAGATGATTCTTTAGTTTGCATCTTTTGTTATGAATCTAAAATTAATCAAGAAAGTAGTAACTACTTCTTCATTTTACTGATTAAGAGCTATTGCTGTTCATCAGGGAAAAATGTAAAACATGAGTCACAATGAGAGTTGCATATGGTGTTACTCTGTGCTTGATCTTAGTTTCTCTGAAGACATGAGGCGCTATGATCTTCCCTCTGTGTCTTCTTATTTCCCAGAATAAATGTGCATGTGTGTGCATATACATTTGCAATACATGTACACACATAAATATGTATGCATATTATATATGGATTTATTTATTTATTTTTTTGCTTAGGGTAGTCTTTCAGATGTTTGGTCTATATTGTAGACATTAAACAGTCAAGAGAAGGTAGATACTAGATATTCAAATACATGGCTTGTCAATTAACTTTTCATTAACTTTCAGAATTTGGGGTTAAGAAAAAATATTTAGGTAACTTACAGTTAAATGTAAACAGATTAGTGGAAAATGAATCTAAGAATTTTTATTGAAATAAAATGTTTAATGTATGCATTCCATGAATCATTTGCATTTTATTTATTATGAGTACAGAAAAAAAACTATAAATAAACATTTTTTTAAAATCTTATGAACTTAATGTATAAAGGAACATAATTTTGTTTCTTCTATTTATTTGATATGGATGTTTATATTTGGCTTAATGTTTAAAAACGTTTTAAATAAAAACTTCTGAGTAGAGGTAATGTATGAATATATAGTTAATATTTAAAATTGGTTTCTTATGTATGTATGGATGTGTATACTTATGCTTTCTTGATGTTTAATTAGTAATACATTAGTTTGAGAAAGACCATTTTTAACTCTAATGAAGCCTATTTCTAAAGCATGAAAATATTGTTCTTAAATACGTAAATCGTACATAAGTCATTCTAGTGACTATTGAGCTCAAGTTGCCTGGCACTATACTAGATATATTACACAAAATTTTCCATTTGGTCATCAAAATAACTGAATTTAAAGACATTAATCATATTTTATCAATGACAAACTAGAGATGCATTAACATTTTATAGGTCAGGGAACAAATACTTGGCAGACATAGGACTGATCCCAGCCTGCTTTAATTACTGCAGTCTTGCATGCATCGACTCATTCACAAGAGTTAAATTGCTTGCATTGCATTCACTTAAGCATAAGAAAACATTTATGGTTGAGTGACAAGCTAACTTTTCCATTATTGAAGAGCTGAAGTAGATATTTAGGCTTCATGCCTTGTAAAAGGTAATATTAATAAGATACTACCTGTAATGCCTACTGGTTTTGGTTGGTTGTATATTCATATTGGTAACTTTTTATCCTTTCTGTTTTCCATTCTTTTAGAATGATGTAGGTGGGCAGCGAAGTCTAATAAACAAATGGACTACTTTTCTTAAGGCGAGACTGGTTTGTTCAATTCCTGGAAGCGATGGTGCAGATACTCATTTTGATGAACTTCGTAAGTCACATATCCCTCGATTCTTAGAATAATTTAACTACTTAATTAATTCAGCACTTACTTTATTTTAGCATCATATGCTCAGATACACACATATAACAAGTAAGTTCAGCCCAAAGGAATTGATCTTACTAAACTGACTTTCGCATACACAAATCCTGTGTTATGTTCTCCATCTAGCTGCAACAATATAATGATGTATTCCTGTATTTGAAATGTCCTCAAAGGTAATAAGGAAAACAAAATTACAGTGATCAGAAAATAGGAACCATGAGAATAGAAAGTCTATGCAATCCCTGTCTTACCTTTTTCCTTGGTGGGAACAACCATATACAGGTCGGAAGAGCTTGAATTCCTTGTTCTGAGGATGCCCTCTGCTGGGGAATATGGAAGACTTCCTGCTCATAGCCGTCTGACTCAGCTCATTCAGAGGCTGCCAAAAGGATTTCATCTTTTTATTCCTCTCTTCTATAGTTCTGGAAAGACTTTAGTTGCATGTAAAGTCAACATCTTTAGCTTTTTATCTTCTAATGTTTATGACACATGCCAAATGATTGAGTCCTCCAGTTACTTCATCAGTGTTACGCGATTTACTCAAACTGAAAATAAACACACCGTATCTCACATAATCCTATAAAACATCACCGGACTTCTTCACTATCAGTGCTGCTTTCACTACACATGCAGTACTACACCTTCGTACTGAAATCCTAAGTTGAAGCCATTACAGCACAACATGTTTTGATAGGGAAAATCTTCCTGTTGGTCTCCAGTTTTGATTTTATATGAAACCACATACTCTAAATTGAAAATAGAGAGGGCCAACTGAGTCATCTCTCCTATACTTGTTTGAGGTATATGCAACAAGAGGTGATGTCACATAGCTGGGGAGAAAGCTTTAACCCTTACTTTCTTAATGTTGTAGTGATTCATCTTTATTTTATATGCTGCTTAGTGCTCTATAAGTATTATATACTTAAAAAGCAAAGATGAATACTGAAAAATATGTAATAAATAATTATTTTTCCATTAACAGAAGACATTTATTTACTCCCTACGAGAGATGAAAGAAATCCTGTAGTATATGGAGTTTTTACCACAACCAGGTAGGTTGAACACATTGCCCTTTTTAAAGGCTTAAAAACAAACAAACAAACAAAAAAACATGTTAAGAGATTTCTTATAATGAATTAGATTACAGGACCATGGAACTTTGCCAAGCAATTCCTGAATCTAAAAGGCAGGCTGCAGAGAAAAGACAGGGTAGCTGAATTTCTAGGATGGCCCAAGATTTCAATAGTAAAATCTTTGGATATATAAGCCTTATGATCTGGTTTAATCAGTTCCACCCGGATTATGGAGGGGAATCTTCCTAACATTATGTGATCAAGTACTCTGATCATATCTATTAAATGCATGTATTTGAGTAACTAGCTTTGTTGTTGAATAGTTGAGGACTTTAGTCTGATGAAGCTGACACACCAAAAAGGCCACCACAGTGAATGTGGTTTGTTTGTGGTGAGTGATGGGGCTCTCCCCTGCTATGTCAAACTCTCATATCTGGCCAGTCTGATGACAATCTATTCTGTACTTTATTACTTCAAGCTTTAAGAAAATGTTTGTTGCTTTCTTAAACACACACACACACACATAATGTTTATGTGTTTGTGTCTGTGTGTATATAAGTGCACATGTATGTGGATGCCCATAGAGGCCAGAATTAGGCACCTGATACTTTAGAGTTGAGTTTAGAGACCATTGTGGACTGCCTAAAGTGGCTGTTGGAAAGGAAACTCTGGTACTCTGCAAGAGCAGCATGCATTCTTAACTGCTGAGCCATCTCTCCAGCCCTCCAGTGGAAGCATTTAGCCCTTGAAAATGTTCATGTGCCTGAGCCAAATAATTAATTGTTTGTTTGTTTCCCAGAGATTTTCATGCTAATACTTGTTCACCGCGCTACATCTTCAGCCCCAAACTAGTATAGTTACATAAGTTACTTTCGTCATGGCTGCGACCAAATACCCCAAAAGAAGCAACTTATACGAGCAATGACTAACCCTTCAAAGATATGATCCATTATGGTAGGGCAGATATACCCCAGGAGCTTGCTCGTGCTTACGGAGATTATAAAGCAAAAGAGGACGAGGGCCGGATGCAGAATTGAGCTGTGATTGTAAAGACCTACTCCCAGAAACCCACTTTTTCCTGCAAGGTCCCACCTCCTGAGCAAGTACAGACTCCCAAGATGGCACTGCCAACTTGGGACCAGTTGTTCAAATCCATGGGCCTGTTAAGGGTACCTCATACTCAAACTATAACAGTAACGGGGTGATCTCAATTTTCCTTGATAGTTGCATATCACATAGCTTTTTTTTTGACCTGCTTTGTGTGTGTTACTTAGAAACCTATTTATATTTGTTCTTTCAACACCAGCATGGCCGTCTTAGTGCTAATTGCCACAGAACATCCTGTGTTTCAGCCTTTCTTTGCTATACATGATATATAACTATCCTGTGTGTATCTCCTTGTCACCCTGAGCAGGTAGGCATAGCTGTTCTGACCATTCCACTAAATTATGCCCTAAAATAAGTGGCTAATTTCTATCAACAAAGCCTTAACGCCCATATTCTGGTCTGCTCTTTGCATAACGCTGCCCTTTATGTATCATTGAGGCTCTGTAGCTTGCATGTGTATGTAGTGGCTTTGCCAAACCTTTTATATATGTGTCTGTAGCTTTCATGTGCATGTAGTGGCTTTGCCAAACCTTTTATATATGTGTGCCCCCTATCAACTTCATCCTATTTCATTCAGTTACTTTTGGTTGTGCTTGAAGCACACAGCCACTTCCATTGCAAGCCTGGAATACTTTTCAGTTTTGCATATATCTTCGCTTAACTCTTTATCGTTGCACTTTAACATGAATATTGCAGGACTTGAAGGTATTGCCATCGACAACGAAAGAAATGACTCTAGTGTCTCCCTTTGAATAAATTCCTGCAATTTTCAGTTTATTTCTTTCCATGGCAAGACCCTTGTGAGCTGAAATTGTCTATAGCTTTAGAATACTTCAGAAAAAAAAATAGTAGTTGATTAATTACAAGACTTGAGATTGAAATATTTTAATTTGGACATTAAGAAGACACCCTAAGAGTTGCTGTTCGGGAATCCATTTTTCTGTTAATGTGCAATGCATTTAAAAAGATTCAAGAGGAGCAATTGCCTGCAGTGGTTTAAGTGTCTCAGCTCTAGTTTTCTTGGCTCCCTTCCATTCAAAATCTTGCTTTGAAGTAGATGTGTTCCACACACAAGTTGTAGATATGTGCCAGGGAGACAGAGCCGCAAGATAGCTCTTTCATTATTTTTTTTTTCTTTTCCTATCAAGTTTCTGCCCACCCAGAGTGTGAAGTTACAAGTCCGCTCTTTGTTCCTGGTGTTCTTTGTTGTTTTATTTTTAATACAGCCCTGATGACTGAGGTAATGGTGGAATGCAGGTCATATCTGTTGTCTAGTGAAAAAATATAATTAAACTTTAATAATGGTGCATGATTTCTTTAAAATATAATAGACAGATATGTAATTATTAGCACAATATCCTTTTTCTCCTAGATGACCGCTTACAGTCACCTTCTGATGTTTCCCATTGATACCATTCCAAGAATATTAGTAATCAAGTTTCCCATGTTAAAGAATCATTAGCTTGCTTGTGTAATGTCAAAATGATGTCATTTCATCAGAAAGATTCATCTTAGTTTTAAGAAGAGGCCTCATATATCCAAAGTATTCTCAAGTTCACAACAAGGACATTTGTTCAACCATGTTCATAGCAGCTTTATTCATAATAGCCAGAACCTGGGAACAACCCAGATGTCCCTCAATGGAGGAATGGATAGAGAAATTGTGGTATATTTACACTATGGAATACTACTCAGCAATTAAAAGCAAGGAAACCATGAAATTTGCAGACAAATGGTGGAAACTAGAAAAGATCATCCTGAGTGTGATATACTAAAAACAGAAAGACACACGCGGTATATACTCACTTATAAGTGTATACTAGACACATAATATAGGATAAAACTACAAAAATCTGTTCACTACAGAACTGAACTAGAAGGGGGATCCTGAGTAAGATGATCAATCCTCACTCAAAAAGACAAAGAGGACAGACATTGGAAGAAGGAGAAAACAGGAAATAGGACAGGAGCCTACCACAGATGGTCTCTGAAAGACTCTACCCAGCATTGTATCAAAGCAGATACTGAGACTCCTAAACAAATTTTGGGCAGAGTGCTAGGAATCTTAGGAAAGAAGGGGGATATAGTAAGACCTAGAGAGGACAGGAGCTCCATAAGGAGAGCAACAGAATCAAAAATCTGGGCACAGAAGTCTTTTCTGAGACTGATACTCCAACCAAGGGCCATTCATGGATATAACCTAGAACTCCTGCACAGATGTAGCCCATGGGAACTCAGGGACTGTCTCTGACATGAATTCAGTGGCTGGCTCTTTGACACTCCTCTTCCCCCCCCCCCCAAGGAGGAGCAGCCTTGCCAGACCACAGAGGAGGACCTTGCAGCCAGTTCTGATGAGACCTGATAAGCTATGATCAGATGGAAGGGAGGAGGACCTCCCCTATCTGTGGACTTGGAGAGGGGCATGGGAGGAGGGGAGGAGGGCTATAGCTGGGATACAAAGTGAATAAGCTGTAACTAATATTAAAATATAAAAATTTAATTAAAAAAAGAAAAGGCCTCAGAGAATGTAATAGCCTCAAAGAAAATGTATTTTATTTTCCGGAAATAAGGCAAGAAAGAAATACCTGATATATGCTAGCGATTGTCATCATTGTCTTGGACAATTTTAGAATTTGTGCAAGTTTCACCTGCTTGGCATTTCTGTTAAAAACACATGATTGTAATAACAATAATTATTAAGTAGATGACTGTAATTCATAAGCCCAATTCAAGAAATGAAAGGTTATTTCTGCTGTAAGAATTGTTTCAACAACATCATCTGAACAACACATTCCATGTCTGATCTTGGGATGTGCAATCATTTTTAATAGATAAGGCCAGGAATGTGGTTCAGTCAATATACACACTTGTCACAAAATCCTGACACTCTTAGCCCTATCCCCTCCACACATGCTTGAAGAAGAGAATCAAATTTGTCTTTCACTCAGAATTACATATCATGCACAAAAACATCAATAATAACAGATAAAATGTTTCAAAAATACGGATAAATGGTACTCTTTTTCATGCATTCAAATGTTTTAAACATAATGTAAATTTTTATATTTTAAATGTTATAAATATTCTAATCATTATTCAAAAATATTTCAGTAAGTATCATTCCTAGTTGTTTCTACTCCACAGTTTTTCTAAATCAGTTGTTCTCAATTTGGGAGTCTTGAACCCATTCAGAGTCAAACAACCCTTTTACAGGAATCACATATCAGATATCCTACAAATAAGATATTTATATTATGATTAATAACAGTAGCAAAATTACAGTTGTGATGTAGCAACAAAAGTAATTTTATGGTTGAGGGTCACCACAATGTGAGGAACTGTATTAAAGTGTCACGGCACTGGGGAGGTTGAGAACCACCGATCTATACGGTTCCTCTTAAAATTGAGTGTCAGTGTAGACCACACCTGCCCATTTGGCAGCCCATTCTTGATGCAAGCTTCCCTCATCCTCATGTAAGGGAGTTACCATCATCACTCCTCAGTCAGGATTACTTGCCTATATGCTTCTTCAAGACATAGGCAAATATTTCTGCTCGTCAACTGGAAGCTGCCCCATATTCTCCGCACATCTCTTAGGTGCAGATATGTGCTCAATGGGCGAATAAATGGATCATCTTCCTTTCTTTCAGCTCCATCTTCAAAGGCTCTGCTGTCTGTGTGTACAGCATGGCTGATATCAGAGCAGTTTTTAATGGTCCATATGCTCATAAGGAAAGTGCAGACCATCGTTGGGTGCAGTATGATGGAAGGATACCTTATCCCCGACCTGGAACGGTATGTACCCATCTGAATAACTGAAATAGTTTCCTAATTCCGTATTTCAGTCCTAATTCTATTATTATCAACTATGCCATTTTTTAACCCACATGTGCTGTTGATTTTCAAACAACTATTTGTTAATACTGATATATTAGTATTTCCATCATTCAAATGAAGTTAAAATTTTTTGAGTGATAGTTTTATGTGCTAAGAAACATACTGGACTATATTGTGATGCTTGCATTATGATAGCATTATAAAATTTGACTCAGATATGTCAATTTAGTTGTCCAGAATGTAAATTTATAAAAATTTATAAAATTTGCATTCTGGACTGAGCAATTGTTTTGTTCATACATCTCTGCATATATCTTGCATACATCTCTAAAATATTTTAGTGTCTGGTTCTTTTTTGTAAAGACTATTGTTTAAAATGGTTCGTTTAAACAATTCCTTTTCTAGATATGCATCTGTCTTTTCTTTGTTTTACAGAACTTTGTAATAACATACAGCTCTTAGGGTGGAAGAAATTCTAAATAACTTGAGTCCAAGGCAGTTTCATGGCATATACTTGTAGTCACAGTAGTCTAAAGAATGGAGTAATAAGATTTTGAATTTTAGGCCACCCCTATGTGGCTAGAAAAGGAAGCTTGTAGTAGAAGAAGAACGTGGAGTTGGAGGAAGAGGACTCATCTTAGCCCAAAATTATTTTCAAATGCTACAAACCATATTTAAAGACAAATGATAAAAATAAAATGTTTTAGAATTTATACATTTGCTTAAAAGGAAAAAGAAACCACAGGCTTGGGAGATGGTTCAGATGGCTGTGCAGTCACGAGGGCCTGTGTTTAGATCCCCAAAAATGAAATAAAAATCCAAATACTGTAATACATGCCTGCAATCCCACTGCCGAGGAGGAAGAGAAAGATAGATCTGGCTAGCCAATCTAACCAAGTGCCAGAGCTTCAGGATCAGTGAGATACTGTCTTCCTAAATGAGGCATCTAACAGTTGAAAAACACACCCATACTGAACCTGGCCTTCCTATGCAGGCACACAGATATACATATGAATGTAGACATGAACATACCCACACATGCACACAAAGGAAGTCCATGCCTTACTCAGCATCATCCTAAAAGCCTTTTCATTCTACATATGGTAGAATTTCTTCTCTGTTTATGCTTAATAGTATTTCAGAGGTGTGTGTGTGTGTGTGTGTGTGTGTGTGTGTGTGTGTGTGTGTGTGTTATTATTCATCTCTTAGGCTACATATCATTGGTCCACATCTTTGCTACTTAGAATAGGACTGCAGTGAACCTAAGAATGATCATATCACTTTCAGGTACTGACCTGAATTCAAACCAATACAAATTTTTTTTTTTCTTTTTCCTAACCATCTGGTTATTATAGGTGGAGGGATTTGAGACAATCTGCATTAATTAAAATAAATAATTCCAAACATAGACACACCCACTTAATCTTATAATCCTCCTTAATTGAGCACAATTATTAAAATCATTACATCCCAATATTTAAAAATTACATTATTTATAGTTAAGTGAAGAAAACTGTGAAGTTTGTTAGCATAATTTTCTCAGTTACGGCCTGAAACAGTGGTAAGGGCATACAGAACAGTCACGCTATAAAGCACTTCTAAGAATGCAGCCAGTTCTCTGAAATGGCAATAAGTAACTCCTAGAAAATTAAGAAGTGCGTATGTTTTTTTTTTTTTGTAATCAGTGACAAAAGAAAAAAAAGCATAATATGTCAAATATGCTGGTCTCTAATGCTGTACACTCAAAATAGCTATAATCAAATTTTGAGATAGAATGACTAAAAGAACGCATAAGGTTCTAACTTCTTTGTGTTATTACTTATTATATTATTGTGTTATTACTAATAACTAATAAGTTATTACTTACTTATTCAGTTATTTTCATCGATTGTTTACTATTTTATTTGCTTATAATGATTATCCTGTTTCTACATTGCAAATGTTTTATTTATTTTAAAACAAATTAATTTTAATACTGATGTTAAGAATGTCTGATGTTGAGAATATCTGAATATCTGATAATGTTAAGAGTGTCTGACGTGAAAATCTATTGCAAAAGGGCTTTTACCAAATGAACTTTACCGCCCTAAGTAACCACATTCATAAAAATCAGTGAAATTACGTTTTACAGACTATCAAGTGTCTACACTTGTAAAATTTGAGAATGTAAGAGTTGGAATGAGTGATAGAGACATCATAACTCACCCTCCCATTACACTGGAGGAAACTGGTGTCCAGAATAATTAAATAACATACCCAATCTCATGTTACCCAACTAGCAGAATGAAAGGGGAGTGCTGCTTAGTGGCATTTTATGATCAGACTTCTCCTTGTTCTTTGATATAGTACTTACCTCTTTTTTAATGTTCTCTTGGTAAATATAGGACTGCACAACCTCTCCAAAACTATATTTATTTTATATCATATCCTGCCACACTCTTCTACTGGTGCTTAATAAAAGTACAAACTGTACAGCTATATTCTTTTTTCTTCAATTCAGAAATTTTACTTGCAACCATAACTGACTATTTCTCATGACTCACACATTTTCATAGGAACTGACATGATATTTCACTATATTCTTTATGTTATTGTTTTGAGACAGGGTCCTACATAGCCCAGACAAGCCTTAAAGATTGCTTTGAGCTCCTGCCTCTCGCTCCCAAGTGCTAGGATGACAAATGTGTGCTGGCACACCCAGCATACTCATACTTTCTTAGAACATCACTGTAGTATTGATTCATTTGCACAGCTGAGCATGAGGAAAATATCAACGTGCATTCATGCATTCTCATGGTCTTGTGGTAGACTTCTGTTAGGTTAGACTCACTGTAAGCTATACGATGGGCTAACAACCACCACTACTACTAGAATCCTGAACTGTTTTTTTTTTTTTTTTTTTTTTTTTTTTTTTTTTTTTTTTTTTTTTTTCTTTTTTTTTTTTTTTTTTTTTTTTTTTTTTTTTTTTTTTTTTTTTTTTACGGCTTAGTCTGTACTCTACACAAGTATACTGAAGATTTGTAGGCTTTCAGCACTTGTCATTTTTTAATATTTATTTTTCATATTAATCACAGGTTATTCACTTTGTATCCCAGCTATAGCCCCCTTCCTCACTCCCTCCCAGTTCCACCTTCGCTCCCTCATCTCCTCCCTGCCCCTAAGTACACTGATAGGGAAGGTCCTCCTCCCCTTCCATAGCACCTGATGTTTTTTTTAATATAGGGAAATGTTTCTAACTTGAATGAAAGACTTACTGAATATGGAATTTGCTTCCTGTACATTGGCTAAAGCCTTTGCTTTTTGTATTTTCTGTATCCGTGTCACTTTCATGATTGAACACTGAATTGATATCCCAGTAGGGATGTCAGTTAAATGCTTACAGGCATGGCTTTATTCCCATCATGCTTAACCTTCTCTGTTTTTGTCTAACGTTGCACCGCTGTTGACCGATGTCAAGTCCACAATGCTCTATGTTAATAAACCTGCACACAGGCAGATATCTTACCGCAGTGGTTCTTCTGCCCTCTGCTGCCTGAAGAGAGCAGCTGAACAATTTTTGTTTACATGACTTACTTAAATCTTTACTGCCCTGCTTGGTTTGAGTTTTTGAATGAAAATTAATATTTTTTAAAAAATGGTAAAAATCAGTCATAGAGCCAAACTAACTATATCTGGAATACTTCTGTAAAAACAATGTAAGGCAATTTATTTTAAGCATTCATTCCCCTTTCCCACTGGTTTTTCAGCTGTTTAAGAGGCACAACCTTAGCTTCTAAACGGGAGTCGCCAGTTCTCAAGCTACTCACTATGTTCAACTGTATGTTGATTATTCTGTTAGAAAAAGTCCTGTAAGGAAAAGAGAAACTGATGGAAAGCTCACGAGACTTAAAAACGTTCAAGTCCCTTAGATTAATTTTTGTATAATTTATTATACCCTAATGGTTCTATATTTGGGCAAATCTCCCCTCACCATCTCTAGTCTCTAATTTAAGCTCTCTCTCTGCCAATCTTATTTCAGACTGATTATGGATGAATAATGAGGGGATAAGATTCCACTTAGGGAAATCTGCATTTTTCATATTATAATAAGAATCAGACTTTCTTTACCTATCGCACATAAAACGCTCAGTTTCTTTCCCCGGTTTGCTCAAGGAGAAAAAAAGCCTGGTTTGGACTTTCCTTCACATTAGTCATTGCTCTGATTTGTGTTACGAGGTAATTGCGACCCAGAGAAAGCAGAAAGCAGCAGCCTGCGGCATCAAGCGGATAAGCTTTCCACAGCTGCCTGGTGCCTTGCCATGCCAAGCTCTGCCAAGCAGAACAGGCTCACACCTAGCTAACTGCAATCAGCCCCTGACACAGCCGCTCCTGCAGGGCTCACCGCTGTGGGTGGCTACACCCCAGCATCTCAGGTTTGTCTACGCGGGGTCGCTTTCCCTCTGCAGCCTTTGCCACATATCCAGAAGTGTGCTGGCGTTTTAAAATCTACCTAAAAGTTGTCTGTTCTATCTTTTTAGTCTCTCAAAGTTTAAGCTGTCCTAAGAGTTTTGGGGAGGTGTAAGACGAACACTGGTAACTAACCAAAATTCCTGCATTTCATAGGTGACATTAAAAAAAAATGCTAGGAAACAACAGGAAGAAACAAAAAAGGCTATGCGGGGTGGGATATTTAGATGAATTATGAGAGTAGTTACAAATTTAGTAGAATATATGCATACCGAACACTTACACATAGAATCTGCAGCTTCAGTGGGATTCTCTGAAGGATAATTAATAACCGAACACAGCTTTTCTTAGATGTTGTATTTCTTAACCCCCCCCTCCTGCCCTTTTCCCTCTTCATGGGACTTTCTTTGCTATTTTACTATCTTCGAATAGTTCCTGCGAATTGCAATTGTGTGTTGTGAGATACCAAAAGCGAACGTCCCCTAGATTGGATGTATTGGAGCAACACTATGTGGTTCGTACTGTTCCGAATTAAAACTCGGGGAGTAACACCCCCAAACCTCTCTTGCTTGTGTGAGCACAGTCTTGAGGACCTGAGATCAATCCTCGCAGCGAGGGGCCGAAGGTCTCAGCCGAACCCTGGCAGCATGCCACAAAGAGCGCTGTCGTAAGAAGAAAATGTATTTCCAAAAATCTTTCTGTAACTGCCAATAGAAACCGGGTTTCTCTTTTTCTTCTCTTTTTATCCCGTAGTTTTTATTACGTGCAAACCTTTTTGTTACCGGCAAGCTGCGAGGAAAACTGTGTTGCATGCTTGCTAAATGCTTATATCTCATTTAGTTGCACTGTCTTACAGTGAGATGTGCTATTGTTTTAAAAATTTATACCAAAAGTTGTGGCTTGATGATCATGATTTGTCTTTTGAAATTCTGTTTACTGTGTAACTACAGCTACAACCTTTAAGGATCTCTCTCTCTCTCTCTCTCTCTCTCTCTCTCTCTCACTCTCTCTCTCTCAAGTTGAAGGCCTCTTTCCAATATGTAGTGGAGGCAAATCTTGCCTTGAACGATAAATCAATCAGACTGAACTGAAGGTGTTATGAGATGTAAATCCGGCGGGAATGCCTTTTGAGTTAAGACTCAAATGTGTAGCCTCTGATTGGGAAAGGCTCAGTGTTACCTGTGTCTATATCCATTTCCAGTTTCAAGCTACTTTAACAAAGGGCGCCTTCCACTATCAAGTGGACTGATTCTCCCTGGATGAAGAGTAAATGCAGAAAACAGTGATGGGACAGACTTTGATCTTCAGACCAACCTCCAGTGACAGATAGACTAAATAAGTCCCCAATGGCTGATGCTATAGGGCACTCCTTATCAAATTCATACAGACCTGGGACAAATAGTTAGACACCAGGAAAGGATCTGTTTCTTAACACAAGACATGCAAGACTTTTGCAAAAGATACTCTCAATGAGGAAATTCCTAGTAGGTCTTAACATTTTACTACGACTTCTTTGGTGGACATTCTTCTTCATAATGAATCATTATGATTTTATTGGTATGAAATCTGGAGTGAGAGCTATCTGTTATCAGTTACCCTAGGATTTTGAGCTAACAATGCCCCTCTTGACCTCCAAAAAGGAAGCTCTGAAGGGCTGCTATGATTCTCTGCGTAGTTTAAATGGCTTTCAGTGGAAACTTTATTTCCTGTCATCAATTTTTGAAAACGTTTAAGTTTTTTGTTTTAATTTAATTCTATTTTTATAATATAAAGATAATTTCAATACATGCTTTTTTGATATCATTAATTTTATTCTATATGCTTGTATCAATTAAACGTTTAATTAAAAAAATTTAAATGTGATGATGTTATCTGTCTACTAAAGACAACACCCTAGGATGCAGTTTTTAAAAAATAAATGAAATATGACATGAAAGAGTGTACACCTTGTAAAATATTCAAATTACGTTTTTTATTGGGTGAATTTATGTCATGTTGTGCTTTTACGTGTGACCACCAGAGGGCAGTTGATGCTAACTCTTTTTTTTTTTTTTTTTTTTAATACACCCAGAAAGCCGTGCTATGCTGAAATGGGCAAAGGCTTGGGGTGCCTTCTGAGAGCCCAGGCTTGGAAAAGAATTGCACTAGGGGACACCATCTAATTTTCACAACAGCTATAACAGAACTCTAAAATTATGATTTCAGACCGTTATTCAAGCTCTTTTGGAGCTGTTTTGCAGCATGTTTGATTTGTTCCTTTTACTTTTTAATAAATGGAGCTAAATTGAAGTGGAATCCTAATTTATTTAAATTTGAAAACAAAGGCTTTCTGTACATTTGGGGAGGTAATAGATATTATTCATGGCAGCTTCATAAATTTAAGTTTACAGAAATTAGAAACTTTTGGGGGGGGTTAATGGGATTTAGTGTTGTCCTATGACATAGACTGGCTTTGAACTCTATTTATTAGTCTGGACAGCCCCTGAGCTTGGACGCCCCTGCCCTGGCCCCGTTCTGGAATTACAGGGACGTCCCATTATGTCTGATTAGAAAAATTCATCTTTATTCAAAACACTAATCTTTTTAAGAGAGCAAGATTACATTGGAAGAAACTTTAGAAAATTCAGGTAAAATCGCATAACTTTGGGAGCTGTGTTTTGAAGAAACCCAGATCTAACTGTGTTGAAGGTGGACTGCATTCACCGCAGGTCGGTGGGCATCCGCCCTGCTCCGACCTGTTACTGCTTTCCCTGGCTCGGCACCTTCCCTGTGCGCCTGCGTTCATTCCTGTGCGCCTTTCCTTTCAGTGTCCAAGCAAAACCTACGACCCGCTAATCAAGTCCACCCGAGACTTTCCAGATGATGTCATCAGTTTCATAAGGCGGCACCCCGTGATGTATAAGTCAGTGTACCCGGTGGCAGGAGCACCGACCTTCAAGAGAATCAACGTGGACTACAGGCTGACGCAGATCGTGGTGGATCACGTAGTCGCTGAGGACGGACAGTATGATGTCATGTTTCTTGGGACAGGTACGCCCAAACCACACTTCCAATCAAAGAAATAAGTGGACAATTTAAAAAAAAAAATCGCAGGTATTTTGTCTGCCAAAATCAAGTAAAGAGCAGTTAACACCCTTCCAGCAATTTCTTAAATTGTATAGCCTGTGCTTTTAATAATGATCAGCAGAGCCTGCCATCCACACTGAAATTTAAAGTACATGTATTTTAAATAACGGTTTTTTAGAAGTATTCCGGATTAGTTTCTCAAAACTTATCTGTTTAACCATTGAGGACTAAACATAAATAAAGTGAAGTCTTGTCTCCAAGGTTGCCTTCTGCTCCCACCACGGGGTGCTTACTAAATTGCTCACAATGCTCTCCTTTCCCCAGACTGTGGAAAACAGGGACTTGGTGGCCTTAAGGCAGTCTCTTTCTATTTATATACATATATTATTATTAATCATTACTTTGTAAATACTTTCCAATAAAACTTTTTGGAAGCTTACTTTCCTGTTCATGACATTTGTTGATTAAAAGTAATTTTGTGGATTCTTATTAAAGTGGTTTGTGCAATTTAGTTTATTGCTTGTCAACTTTGTAATTATAAAATGATCAAAATAACATGTTTCCAACCAAGTGTGCTAGTGAATGTCTATACTCTCAGAACTTGTAAGACTAAACAGGAAAATCATGAGCCTAAGACCAACCTAAGGGATATAGATGACTCAGTCTGTCTACTATCTATCTATCATCTATCTATCTATCTATCTATCTATCTATCTATCTATCTATCTATC